CCCATCTGGCTTTCTCTCTTAATCTCTAGTTTTCCATAATTTTTCCTGTAATTTGATATATAAATTTCATTTACTACTTGTCATGGATTTGTGTATATTGTTATCTATATCTCTTTCTTTTCTTTCTTTATATTTCAAATTGAAACCCTCCCTTAAATTATATTGTGTGTTGGGAAGGGGAAGAGAATGGAAGAATTGTATACCTCTTTTCTTTTAGAAAGAAGAGAAAGAGATAGGAAGGATAGGATAGAATGGAAGAACTCTGCTCTTAAAATGCAATTGTACCCCCATCTAAATGTGATGTTCTGACACAGCGTCCGAGGTAAGCTAGATCTCAAATACAAATTGAAACCTCAAATTGGCCGATAGGACGGCAATCTCGAGCCACGATCGAAAGAAAAAAGCAAACATTGCAATTAGGAGAGAAAATGGATACCCCCTCGTCCAGAATGGGGTCAGGGGTCATGTCTGAAGCGGGAGAGCCCATCAAGTTAGAATGAGTGCTGACCGTTTGTCATACTGTCAATTAAAGATATGCTCTTTCCCATTCTGAGGGGGATGTTCACCCATTACGATTTCTACTTTTAGCTACTTGTTTGAAGAGAACGGGAAGCGATGAGAAGTTGTCGCACATTAAAGTTTGTTTCCATTTGAAAATAATGGCCGTAAAGTGTCTTCGCCAGAGGAAGATATCATCTGCTGAGAAACAGCGAGAAGGGCATAAACTTATTTATTTATGAATCCGATTTAATCCAAAAGGTATTTCATATAGTTCATTTTCCTGACAGTTACAAATCATTGCACACAGTGCCCCATATGTTTGGACTACATGTACTTCAAACAATAACATAACACTTCAAAAAAAGACCAGAGGAGTCAACACTACCCATTGTCCTCTAACAAAATGAATGGGACTACTCCGAAGTTTCTAAAAGAGTCAATGCTTTGATTTAGAATTTAGTAGAGAAGCTTTTGTCCACCCCTGAGGACTGTGATTGTTCACATAATTTCTTGCTGCCTCAAGATCATCGGAGCAAATGAATAGGTAGCCAGAGTGCCTATTCAGTGAAGGGTTAATGCTTTTCATCCAGATGACTTCTTTTACCTTTCTTGACCATAGGTGCGTCCAATCTCAATCATGTTGGCATCATCCTATTGAATGTTTTGTCTAGTATTAAGGGTGTCGTCTGCTACAGTTGAATGAGATGAAGTGCTCAATCTGAGGGCGTTTTGTGCTCTTTAATCGTTTAAAAAAGCACACAATAGGTGCAGAGAAATTTAAATTGATAAGGGATGGATTAGAGTTTTTATCGCTCACAACAGGTTCTGAATTGTTTAAAACTCGAGCCCTCCCGGGGGCTGATAATACATAAGAGGTATTTTGAAACTTTAAAGAAAATTTGCATAATTTCAGGAAATTTTGTTTTCTTTAGCATCCCATGTTTTGGACCTTAAAGCTGTCATAGAAATCAAGGGAAAAGTTTGAGAACCCCTTTTAACCAGCAAAGAAAGGTTCAGTAGATTTCAACTGCAATATGTCTGAAACGGACAAATCAGCAAATATTTATTACCCGGTAAGGTTGTTGTACATTGTAGGAAGAATTTACCATACTAATATGAATACTCTGTAATTATTTCCTATGCCTATAATAATGGCTGTCTGATGTGAATACTTTGTACCGGTTGTCATTTTATTTTCCTATAGACATGATAATAACATGTATAGGAGGACACTCAGATAGAGGATGTTATTACACCTGAATTGTTCCTCCCATGTGAGGATATCAGATATTTTCCTGGCTATTTTTTCTTAGTCTCTCACTTACTCCCTTTCCATTTCCGTCTGTCTGTCTGTCTGTCTCTGTCTGTCTGTCTGTCTCCCTGTCTCCCTATCTGTCTCTCTGTCTCTCTCTCTGTCCCCCCACTCTCTCTCTCTCTCTCTGTTTGTCTGTCTGTCTCTGCCTCTCCCCCCCCCCCCTCCCCCTTCCTCTCTCTCTCTCTCTCTCTCTCTCTCTCTCCCTCTCTGCCATTCTTGTTCACACACTGCTTTTTCTCTTTCTATTTTGGACATTGTATTTGAGTGGTTCTCTACATGGTATGATAGAAGTTGGACATATAAAGTTCATCATACATTCTCGCTCATTTTTCAACAATTCTTTTACGCAAATTATGTCTTGAAATTGTTAAGCCTCTTTTTCCTCCCTGTGATGAAAGCCTTTAATTTATTTTTCTAAAAACTGTCTATATTAATGCATTTATTGCATCTTTTCGGATAATTGAAGGCACATTGAGCAGATATCCACCCAGTCCATTGCCCTCTGGAGCAACCCATTTCAATCCAAATGTTAATATACCCACTGTTTAAGTCAATTTGAATTCAAAGTACATGCACCTCCTAAAAAACCAATCAGACTTTGATGAGTAATTACCATCATAGTCAGTCTGAGAAGAAAAGCCAATCTTGTGTGGGTCGTTAGCAAAATAATTACTTCATATCTCCTGAAGATTGCCATGATCATGCATTTCTTTGTTCAGTGGAAGAAAGTGAGACTGCTAGGTTCATCTACTTTGGTGTTTAGTGGAAGAAGGTTGTAGGTAAATGTGCGTTCATTGACTAGCGATGTCCGAGTCGAAGTGAAACTCTAAAACATAGACATGCTCAAGGAGATTGCAGTGACTATGAAGGAAGGTTGTAACCCTGATGTACTGTGGGTATTCTCTAGAGGGGATCTCTTTGTTATTCTGTAACACTACACACTTTCGTGACATGAAACTTTTAGAAATTGTTACAGATATCTTGCACATTTTACAACTCTATGCATTACTATTGATTGACTCCAGTATCATTAAAAATGGTTTATCACTCATTCTAAGATTCAAATCAAGCTCTGGTCTATCCAGCACACAAAATCAGATGTTTCCTGAAGGAGAGGCTAAACTCTGTTACAAAAGGCATATGTAGGACAAGTGCCATGAGACTCAAGTTCATGTAAGTGATACCTCTGGCAATAGGGCATCTCGTGATAGAAGTAACCGATCCACAGCCAAGAACCTCCCTTACCCCTCCTACTCCTTCACCATAGTCTGTGAGCACAGACCCTAATTTGACACTCTACCACAATTCCTAAAGCGTGGAGCAGAGCCTAGCTCAGTCAGTCTCAGGCTGTGAAAGGAGCAGCTTAAGTACAGATCCTATGGCGTGCAGTCTACATAGTCTCTGAGTTCAGACCCATTGTTATGCACAACGACTGACAAGGGTTGGTGCGTAGAGACTACTCCTGCTCCCCGCTGCTATCAAACATTGCATGCATCTTTGTTGTATTATGTTCAAGGTGTTTGCCTGGGTTCTCTTGGGTCAGCTGTAAATGAAGTGATCATGGACTAGGGTAGTCTTAGTACCAGGTACATGTCATTTTATTTAGTGATATAATGGTATTAAATGTTTGTAAAATCATAGGGTTTTCTAGGAAAAGTTTTTTTAAATTCCCCTGTCCTTTTGTTTTGCCTACATATTTATGCTTGTCCATTATCAGTTTATCTAACATGAACTCTTACTACAAAGAAATAACAGAATACAAAATTAATTGCTAGGAAAAACATAGATGTGAGCATGCATTTTTTACCAATATAATTTGAAAAGCAGTCTTTTCAGTTTAATGTATTGTAAACTATTAAATAATCATACTCCAGCCAAAACAATATGAAGAACCAAATTTAAACTGAGCAAGTACTTTGTTTGACATATTTGCAAGAGTATTGTTTAAATCAGCATCATAATGACTTCCTCTTATTTAGTACCATCAAGTACTCTTGTATCCCATTCAGTAGCTCATCATTTTTTTCAACCCAAAACAAAACGATGGAAGATAGCATCTTTGTTCTTCGTGTGAACATGTTATTTTTAAGCATCAAGCTCCTCTGCTCTCGGTAAGCACTCTATCCTGTTCTTACCTGTATGATCCTGTACTGAGCCTTGGTTAGATTGCTTGCATAGCTCCGCCTCCTAGGCTCCTCCTCCTCCCAGACTCCTCTTCAAGTCTCTAGCTCCCATCTTTAGCTCCCATCTTCAGCTCTCATCTTATGCTTCAGGCATGGCTTTATAATGATAGAGAGTCAGATGTGAAGTGTGTGAAAGGGATGTGCAAATACCATGCTCACTATTATAGCAGAGGTATATTATGGTTCCACTCTTTCCTCCTACCTTCCTCTTTCCTTTTACCTTCCTCTTTCCATCTCATCATCTTTCAACATTTCTTTGCACATCTTTCTCCCCACCATCTCTCTCTCTCTCTCTCCCTTTCTCTCTCACACATACTCTCTCTATCACACTCTCTCTCCCTTTCTCTCTCACACACACTCTCTCTATCACACACACACACACACACACACTCTCTCTCTCTCTCTCTCTCTCTCTCTCTCTCTCTCTCTTTCTCTCTCTGTTTCTCCTCCATTTCATATTACTAGTATGATGGATAGGGCAATGTAAAAGAAGCCAACACTAATGTTTTATCTCTTGTTGTTGCATAGGGTTAATATCTATCACACCATCTTCTTCAACCCAATTAATATAGCTAAGTGCCCACATTTTGAGCACTGTCATATCAGGTACCTACTTCCACCTGGGTGGAAAGTGGCAAATGTAGATTAATGCCTTTCCAAAGGATGTTAGTGCAGGTTTGGGATTTGAACCCTTTATATCTTGATTGAAATTCAAGTAAATGAATGACTACCGTATACTACGACTCTTCCATATTGATGTTTCTTCCCCCCCCCCCCCTATTTATTTTGATTCTTCTTCATCTTTACCTTTTCCATCTTAGTCCTCTTTTCTCTTCTTCTTAGTCTTGTTTTCCTTCTCTTCTGCTTCTCCCGTTTCCTCTATCACCTCCATACCATGTTCATACTACCTCACTTGCATCTGCTCTTTCATCTCTTGTTTACTTCCAATCCATTCATTCCTATCACCTAGGGGCTGTTGCAAGAGTCTAATCCCTTTTCTCTTCACAGAGAAAATCTCCCGCAGGCCCTCTAGCGTACTTTGTCAACAAAGAGGCTGTACAGGGAGTCTAAATCTGCTCCAATTACTCCCCTACCGGTTCCTATGTACCCTGCTGCTCTGGTATTGTGAATGCTTGTTGAAGAGCGAGACACCGGTATAGAGGGGGGTAACAGTTCACCTCCTGCGGTTGGTAGAGGCATGTCATGCATTCTGAGGCCCATCTCATAAGGATTTGATACCAAGATTTCAGGACCAGTGATGCACTCTCTCTTCCAAGCTGAGGAGTATCTTGGAACACGGGTCTCATCCCAAATCTTGATTCATTAAATAGGAGGATCCAAGCACGATATTCTCACACCAATCCCAGAAGAGCTAACCGTACAGTTCAAACTTGTTTACTGACTTCAGACATCTATGATTTAGGAAAGTGTTTTCTTCTGATTGGTATAACAAGTGTTGATGGACGCCTAACATCTGTAAAGTCAAGTGGTAACGTGAATGATTGTGATATTGGTTTTTTGTTACTTGACTTGAGAAGTCGGTTCCTACTTCAGAAGCTGTCTCTCTTCCTGAATCCTGAATGTTACCGGTATCATCTGGTATCAAGTGTTTTGATCCAGCACAGAGAGAGAAAGACTTGAATCTCTTATGAATATGGTACTTAGCACTTGACTTTCAAAATCGATCTCAACTGACTCTGAATATGGATGAATAACACATTTTCTGTTAGAGTGTTGCTTTGGAAAGATCTGGTATCCTTGATCATTGCCTTGGAAGGTACTGGTACCCGAGACTGACACAGCTCCACTTTCAAACCAAACTTGATGTTATTTAGGCTCTACTTCATTCAACATCTCTCTACAATTTGAATTTTATCAAATTCAGCTTTGGTTTCACGAAGGAATTAATGATAGTATCACTTCAACATCACTCTCTGTTTTGATACACTTGATTTTTATTTTCTTCTTCATCACTATCTGGAAGGTTCAAGCTTGTGAATATTGTTATCACCTTTTCATCAGATCCAGTTTAAGAGTAACTTTCAAACCATTCTAATATTCCTCAGCAGTCTTTTGATCAGTTTCTAAGAGTTTGATTGGATTTAAATGAAATCAACTTTCTTGCCAAACATATTTCTCAGCCGACAGGATAAAAATGATTTCAGAAGTTTCATGTCAACCAGAGAAGTGACTTCATTTGTTTCAAGTTATTTGAGGGAAGGTTTTTCTTTACTCTCAAGACTAAACTTGTTACAACGAAATACCCTTCGGTGGCCCTATCAGGGTCCTCGCATCTATTTCACTGCCGGTGCCTTGTGCGTAAACTGATATTGACGTCTCGCTAAGACGTGGATCGGTCGTCTTAAATATCACACCAGTTGTCAGAGTATCATCAACTGTTCTCTCCCTTCACTGTGTGTACCTCTCTGCATGCTGGTAAAGGAATGACTCCATTCATTTGATTAGTAAGTGAACAGCTGACTTCATTTCTTCTTCATTAAAACAAAATTAAATTGACAGTTAATATCTCTGTTAAATTGTAGCTTTAATTGTTCAGGGTTGATGGGTAGTTAGTTTAATTTTTTGTTCTTTTAAATCAATTAAAGTTATGATTAAACCATCTGTGTTTAACAGCTTTAGTTGATCAAGGTTTAATTTTAATAGCTTTGGTAGGTTTTCTAATTATTTGTTATTTTATGACAATTAATGTCAGTGACACAAAGGCAGTGTGATCTTAGTAGCTCTTAATTGTGGCAAGGTTTCCTCACCACCTGATAATACCATTTTAGCGCCTTATCATGGTTCCTCAGCTACAGCAGGGGTAATAATGTGATAACTTATATTCAGTGTAGAAGAGTATGTTCATATAGTAACTGCGCTATTTAAATGGATTTATTACTATACTGTTTGATATGTTGAAGCTCTAAAAGATTAAGATATCATGATTTATTTCCCCTGTATTATATAGGCCTTTTAGAAATGATCACCAAGTTAGCACTGGAGTGTATTATCAGATAAGCAGTTGGTAACCAACATATACTGTAGAGACATATGTTCAAGGTCATATTTTGTCAAAGATATAGGAATAAGTTTAGGATTGCAAATGGATTTTAGGATTGGTTGAGGCAAGGCCTGACATTAACGGGGCCAGGGATACATGGCACCCACATTCTAAAGGTCCGCCAAAATGTCAAAATCCTTACTTACATAGGGCTCCTGCGTGCATACAGAATCCGGACCCCTTCCCTAAAAGTTTGTGTGGAGCACTGATGGTTTAGGGTTGGGTTAGAGGTGATAGGTAAAGAACTTTATGCAGGAAATTGTCACAGACCGAAAGTTGTTGCAGGTGGAGTAGTAGTAGCAGTAGTAGATCCAATTATTAACGAATGCAGCCTGTTACGATTGAATACATTCCTACATGTTATAAAGGCATTCCTGAGCTAGCTAAAATCTCTAATTTGAGCTCCTATTAGTGTAATACAATTTGAACCTGTCACATGGAGTTCACTGCTAAATTCTGATGGTCATTTCTTCCAGAACTTTTCTCAGCATGAAAGAAAAGAGCGATTAGATTGCTACCACCAGTAGCAGTTGATTAGCCAGCCTTGGAGACTAGCAGAACACCGATGTGAATAATAGAATACAGATGGTGTCACTGGTTGGTCGGTTCTCTTTCGCTCTGTCCTTCAATTAGGTCATGTGATACTATTCTGATCCTGAATTAATGGTAGTCATGGAAATAAGTTAATTTGTGAGCCCTGATTTATTCACTAATTTGCTCTGATAAATGCTATCCACGAACAAGATTCAAATTCAGTGCAGTTGTACTTATCTAAGTTATTAATGCATTTAGCCTTGACAGTAAATTAATGACACCAGTGTGTATGATAAGTGTAAATACAAATGACTTTGGATAAACAGCATCAACAGTACTTCGGAACGAAAATGGTATTGTTCATACATCCAACACTTTACATCTGGTACATGATTCAAATTATAAGATGAAAATATGAATTCATTTTCAACAGATAGCAAAATTGCTTTTTAATTTTAAAAAAAATGTTACAAGTGGGCTTTATAATCATAATAGAGAGAGAGAGAGAGATTGAAGAAAAAACAAACCACTTACTGACTAATGTTAAAACCCTAACTATAGCATTAAAATAGAAGCCTTTGTATTGCCTTGCTTATTACAAAATTCATGTCATTGATCAAATGATGATGAATAGCAAACCCAATTCTCTGCTCTTGATCTTTACAGCGATTGATTCTCATTTATCAAGCGATTAATAGCGAGGGCTAAGTGGCGTTTATTTGCTGGCATAATGAGAACAATCAGACCAATGTCATCTAATGCAAACATGAGAGAGTAAATAGGAGAATAGACAATCAATTTGAATTTCAGTGAATGAGGTATTATGCCCATCCTAGCTGATCATACACTGAACAAATTACATCATTCAGTATTCATTTTACAAGTTGGTGTTTAGAAGGCCTACAATAATTTTTTGGGAGAAAATCGTGAGTCTGTCCTTTTTGTAATTGAGGGATTAGTTTTTAATAATTTTTCTGAGTGTCCTCAAGGATAAATCCAGAGTACAATTCATGTATAGGTCCTGACTCCTGGATTTTTGTTCTCCCTTCATATATGTTGTTGATTAATGAACCAATCAATTGATAATGTATTCATTTCTAGAAAAAAATCATTTATTTCCAGTTTCCAGTTGAGCCATTAATATTTCTCATCACATTTTGAATGTGAGGGAATTGAAAAAGCAATCCTGATCAGAGAAAATCTTGTACTCTTAATTGCATTTTTTTTTTAATGAGAAAGTAAGATTATTTTTCATATTTACCTGAATTCAAACTTCTCTTAAACAAATAAAGTTAAGACTTATCATACAAATACCAAAGTGACATCAACTATTATTTACACACATGCTGAAGTACAAGCATGGAAATAAATTTTGTTTATTTTTCTCAGCTAGTTTCTAGATCTGCTATATTCACTCAGTCACCACGCTCATGTGGATGAGCCCGGTGACTGATTTAGCGTGCTGGTGTGAAGAATGAAAAGTTATGAGCAAAAAGTTCAGAGTTCAGTCTTCATGTCCCTAATAACAATACCATAAAACCCTCGCTTGGCATGAAACAGGAGGAAAATTCAACACATTTGCACACTGAATCAAATTCAAGGCTGGGTGTCGAAACTAGTTACAAGATACACTTCTATATCTGGATTGCATGTAGCCAAAAGTAGAACTTGTGCAAAGAAAGGAAGAACATTTATGTAGGATTTACTGGTCATGAACCCCCCCCCCCCTGTCCTGTACCTCCAAAGTTTTGAAGGAATGTTACAAGTTCATTGCTTCTTTTTATTTTAAAGGAGAAAGTGATATATTTTTTTGCGCTCTGTGCAAACAGATTGGTTTAATACGGTGTCGCCGCGACACGGTACTTCAATTCAGGAAAAGATAATCTGTGTTCCACTTTTTTTCAGTGGAAACACGCTGAAAGATCCCAAGTCAAACTTAACTCTAAGTTGGACTTGAATATTATGGAGAGCCATTTGTACCCTTAAAATACAATATATTCTACGGCTTTCCATAATTGTGAAATCCAACTTAGGATCTTTGTGAAACAGCCCCCAAGATACATGTATCCTGTAAAATCATTGAGTGCATTACAGCTCCATCCATTGGGTATGATTCTAGCAGGTTTGAAGCATCACTCATCTGAGTGGTAGGCAGTGTGAATATTATTATTATTAGAAGGCTTGATACCTTGCACTTGAAGCTAGAAGACACACATACCTTGACCTTACATGACCTCTAACACCAGTAGGCCTGTCTTCATCAACTCGAGATTCCCAAATAACCAGCCATTTTGCAAAATATCCCGTTATTTGTCCGATGCATCTTCACCAGTCCGAAGACTCGCACTATGCACCAACACTGAGCAAAATATCTCCAGCTCGAGTTTCAAGTTCGAGTCTCGAGCTGATGGAAGTGATGTGTAACTTCTGGCTTATTTCACAAATCAGAAATAGCGGGCTATTTGGCAATCTTGAGCTGATGAGGACATTACTAGTGATGTTAGTCTAGCTGAAACCTGTCTTCAATATCCTTCTCTCTTGGATGAAAGCGGTAGATAAAGAGCATACATACATCTCATTTTGGGCCTTGATGTTAGGTATGAGAGCTAAGAATTTATAAACAAGACAAAGTAGCTTAATTTTTAGTTTGTATATATATATATATAAGGAGTAGTTAGAAGTATATAGTTTTTATAGAATATAGTAATAGGAGGAGAAGGAGGGGGAGAAGAAGGGGGAAGAAGAAGAAGGAGTGGGAGGAGGAGGAAGAGTGGATGAGTATGGGGCTGCTGTTGTGGTAGTAGTAGAAATGGTAGTGGTGGTAGCATTGTGGCCTTACATATTTGCCAAAGAAATATTAACTTCCTAGTGACACTTAAAAAGGTAGCAACTTAGCAAGAGTGGCAGAGACTATGATATAAGTAGACATTGCGACATAATCTGAAGTGGCCCATTCTTTCCCTGAAAAGCTTAATGACAGTCTCCCCAGCAGAGTTTGGAGAGTCCAACTTTTGACCGATTACTGGATATAGCTGAATACACATAGAAAACAGCCACTAGGTTATATTTCACCTACTATTGTTAGATCAAAGACTATTAAAGATAAATCCTTTGTACTCTTAGATAACGAACTGACTTGTGGCCAGTCAGGCTAGAGTTTCTAAATGGAAATAATTGCTCAGTTGTCTTTTATTCATAAGTGCTTGAAATCATTATTTCTTGTTCTATTAATTTTTTAAGCATAATGGCCTATTTTTGTGGTTTTTAAATATCCCCTTTTAGTCTACCAGTGCCAAATGAAGAATGCTGTAATTTATAACTTGAACTTGACTATGCTGAACTAAAGCAGTGCCTGCAGTAGTACTACCGTCTCTTCCCCCTGATGTTTATTTTTCATCAACTTCTCTCCAACCTTTCTATGACCCGCACCATGAAGCTATTAAATGCTCATTGTATTAATCAAATATCCAAGAATAACCACTACCCCACCATTGCCAAAGCATTGCCAGAGCATTGCCAGAGCAGCAGATCTGTATCTCATTCCTAAGATTGGAAAAGTAGATTGCTTTTAGTCCTTGTTCGGATCAAATTGGCCGAGTGCTTCATCAAAATTCAGTTATGAACTGCTGCCGAAATATGTCTTAAAGGCAGTGGCCGTTAAAGCTGTCATATCCAGCCCGTTTCCTTGCGTCAAATCGGGCATAAAACCATATTGTGACTATGGTGGTGGACGCGTAGTTTGCTGGTTTCACAGAGAATTTGGTTTATCTGCCACACGTTTGTAGACCCCTCTTCCATCATAAAGCATTAGGTTGGATTTAGAGCTGTCACATTCTGAATTGTCTTATTAACGTCAAATATTTGAATGATGAGTAATGACACGTCTGATTCAGAGCTTGGGAAACTCTGGATTGTTACTTGTGCAGCTGCATTTACGGAGAATAAAAATGATTTTGAATGCAAATCATAGCAGTTGTAGAATTCCTTTCAACCCCTTTTGTATATTAAAATTGTAACTGTCGATTGTTAAGAATTTTTCTCAACTGAAATATTTTCTCCTGTACAGTTTTAAGTCTGTGACCGTCGCACTTTTTAAAAGTTCTATGCACCCACTCCATGGGTCATTTTGATAACAAAAGGCAAAAATAATTGTCATTTCAGTAAATGAAAATGAATATGTGTACAATTCACTATAAAAATTAAGTTTTCACAGAAAGATATAGGTCTATCACTTAGATGTGTTTTTTCACATTTACACAAGATTGATATATTTGTTTTGTGTGCAATAATTCTTTTTAATCATACGTTATTCAATCACAGTATTAGGTCAACGGGTCATGGAAAAGACATAATATGAATGATTCAAGTCAGTATTTACCCTTATGTATGTGAAAGTATGAAATGTCTACCTGTAAAAGAAGTTGAGTGTTGACCTAGCTGTTCACGTCTCTAGCAGTTATAATAGACTTGTTTATTAAGTTTATGAATACTTCTAGAACAAAAGATTCTTTTGACATTCAAAACCTTGCCATATGCTTGCCAGTCATAGCAACAACTGATGTAGGATATGTAAAGTAGAGTCCATCCATATAGCACAGCAAGTGCATGCAGTAGTCAGTAACCTATACAAGGGCTCTGGAGAGGAATATGCCTAAATTGAAGTACATTAGCAAACAGGGCCCATATTCATTAAAACTTACTATAAAACTACTTGTCAAGTACTTACTTTAATATTCTATAATACATAGTTGGTTGACAACTAGGCTTATATTTACTAGTAAGGTTTTTATGAATATTGAGCCCTGATGTATTAGGTCTATGATGTTAGTCTCGATCATTGCAGAATGCAGAATAGTTGTTTGTATCGATCAAGTCACTCTGTTGATTTGATATTTACCAGTATGGCAAGAAACTAATGGTATAGATGTGATCAAAAAAGCTCTTGATTATATGGCCTTCTTAAGCTCTGCTTATGATTTGCTCATTCTCATGTTACCATTTTATTTCCTGTATAATCAAATGTGTTAAAAGCTTTTCCTTTTATGTCTTATAAGTAACATAGGCAAAGCTGCTTTTCACAGTCTGCCTACAGGGTTAGGAGAATAAAAGAATGATTTGAAACATTCATGGTTTGCTTCAAATCCACTTTCCAGAAAGCCCAATTTCCATCTAGCGGGCGGGAGAGCTAGGTGGAGGCAATGAAATGTTATCCTAATAACTTTGTAAGCCAGGACTAGGTGAGAAACTCCATGGGATCTAGTGTCAAGAAAAGGGGGTTGTTGCTTTCAAATGAAAGGTTGCTTTTTAAGTGAAAGGGGGGCAGAATAGGGCGAACTTGGGTGGGATTTAGATTCATCACAAAACATGAATGGGTTTCCCCCGAGCTGTGTTCAGGACCGGTGTTTTGAAACCTCGGAGTAGAAGAAAGAGTTTGTTTTCTTCTCTTTCTGTCCTTATTTGGGATCAGAGTCTGGTGAAAATGCTGAGTACTTTTGGCATCTCCAATGGAATGTTGATGATTTATTTAACTGGAAAATGAATAACTTCATAAAAACACAATTTTAGCAGCAAAATAGAGTAAGTGAGATTGTATACATCAAGTGGTTTTCATTAAAAATTTGCAAAAAAGAAGCTACAAAGTTGAAAAAATTCAGCAAATACAGATATTTCACTTGTTTAAAAGTTTAAAACACCAACAAAATTCCTTGATAAAACCACTGTCAGTTTATGATATTTCAATCAATGAAATAAATAATTTGTTGGTTTGTTTTTCAGTTTCTTACATTAACACAAACTTGATCAACAAATGGTATGTGTGTTATCACTGTTGTGCTTGTTTTTCTCCCAAAAAGTTGGAGCATATTTTGTGATGTGGGCTGATAATTTGTCACTCATCAAAAATCCTATGTGGATTTTGTGACTGTTCACACCATTCATGAATGCCAGTAGACACTTCCTACAGTAGTATATATGACCTTCTCTAACAATGCCCGTTCCTTTAATTATGTTGTTACACTTTTTGTGTCACACGCTATTGAGTTTGTATTTGTATTCCTGCCGCAGTGGTTGCAAGCTTCATGATTTTAATAGCATGCTAATGATTAGCTACTCTCTTATACATGAAAAACATCCATCTTTGACTCATTAAACACATAGCAATAGGCAGAATGTAACCAAATTCAATTTATATATGTGTTTGTGAAGTGCCTTGATCGATACTATGATTTTATGAATAATCGTATCTCAGTAGACAGAATTTGAAGTGTATACACTAGATGTTGCTTAATTCAAGGGCTTGCCCTACCTAACAATTTGTAATATGTATACAATTTGCATTTTTAATTATGAAATACAATTATTCATAACATGGGAATTAAATGATATGTATCAGGCACTTCACATAGATGTATGCATTTTTTTTACACTACAAAAATGGCCTATTGAGTGCTGATCAAGTTATGTATGTATTCAGTATTCATTTATGACCACGTACCAATGCATTCCATGATGCTCAGGTGGACGTCATCTTGGCAAAAGGGAAATAAAATCTATTCATGAAGCACCTCCATCAATTTGTTTGAGCAATTGTTCTAAGATATGTAAACGCAAAGTGGAACCTCTCCCTGTCTAAAAGAAAGTGGACCTGTATTATAGGGTCATTTGTTCCAGAGGCTAATAACAAACTGGTCTATTAGTAAGCTTGCTCACCTTTCAAATTGCAATAATAGTGTTTCTTGTACATAAATCTGATTATTTGTTGTGTTATATTACAACGGAGGTCAGTAAAGCACCTTATGTTACATCAAAGTTCAACAGGAATTGTGTATGCACAAAAGAAAGAGTTGGTTTTGAATTGCAATTCAAGTGTCACTTTATTGATACTTGATGGATGTGCTTTTAGGTGTGTTTGCATTTGTTTTTTCCGTCAATAGAGGATGCAAACTGTATTATTATTACAAAGTGTGCTAATGATAATCCAAAACTACTCTTCTCACACAATTCTGAAAGATTTTATGCTTAATTTTGAATCTCAAGTACTGAAGCTACCTACTTGTTTGTGTTTATACTTTTACATACCCAGTAATGAAATAATTTAAATGCTTTATGAAAATTTTAAATAATTGTATGCTATTTTTCTAATTAACACATACTTTCTTGCTTTAGCTTATATCCAGGGATAACTAAGTATTGTATTTAGAATATTAAAGTGTTGCCATATTTTCCTAAGTAGTGTAATTAAGTTACTGTGGCTATTTCAAATGTTTTAGAAGATATGAGTTTGTTATTTTGCGATTTGTAAGGGCATAGAGATGGAAACATATTATGTGCTACATGAGCCCAACATTATTATTATTATAAAGGAAGAGGCCGGCCAAGCTGTTGGAGTTATGTAATGAAATAGAATAGGAATGTATCAAAGGAAAAGATGTGCTACACATGAACCTTCATGAATATCTGTAGGCCTATAATATTATTGTAAACCAAAAGATGGATGATATTCTAACCAAATTGTCTTTAATTTTCATGAATGCAGGTTGCTGCTTTGAAAGGATGTCAGTGAGATGCGTCTGATGTCACGCCGATCCTGCTTCAGGACTCTTCTCCTCCTCCTAGCAACGTCTTCTTTCATCACCTTCACCTTCCTCCTCCGTTGTCATGGAGGCTCAAGGCCCGAGGACGACGTGAAGGCGGAGCTCCTCATCGCAGCCCGGGGCAATGTCGGCGATGTCGGCAACACCATCATCGACATCAACAGCCTTGACTCACGACCGGAAGACATCTCATCTAGACGCCACATTGCAGAGCATCGTCAAGATGCGCAGTTCCAGCAACAGCCTCAGCAGAAGCAGCAACAACCACAACAAAAGCAGCAACAGCCACAATCTCAACAAAAGCAGCAGCAACAGTCACTACTGCCACAGCAGAAGCAACAACCACCGCAATCATTGCAGCAATTTCAAGAGCAGCCGCCACAGGAGCAACGCAGACAGGAGACATACATCAAGTACAATGAGCCACAGCTACCGCTTCACCAATACAAGGAGATCGACTGCGTCGTCAACAGCGATTATACCGTCCAGGCAAGGTTGGAGAATGGGGAGGTGTATCTTCCATTCTCCTTCATCCATAAGTACTTTGAGGTCCAGGGGCAGGTTGTCCAGTACAACGGTGCGGAGAGGTTTGAGTGGCAGCACAGTAATGCTAGGATCTACGTCCAGGATCCATACAAGGTCGATGGTATCTTCATGTCCTTTCATCACTACAATGTGGAATCAAGAGATAGAGTCAAGTACTTCAGTGGAGTTGAAGGTTAGTAGTACTGTCTCATTGCATAATATGGATTTTTATTTTCAGGGACCTGTTTCACAAAGCCTTTTTTCAATGACAAATGACAAAAATCTGTGACAAATAATAACCAACCAGAAGCAAGGATTTCAGTAACTTATAACAAAAACTGTCATTTGTCACTGATGACAAGTTTTGTGAAACGCCCTCCAGGTCATACTCCTACTCTTGGAGTAAGAATTTCTGAATTCCTTGATACATTCTGGTTGCAATCATAAGTCTAATGTTAACTAGGTTTTGTGCGATTTTAGAGCTTTGCGTGTTAAGGTATTCAGATCTTTAATCTTCTAAATCTTTTACTGTTGATGAAGATGATGGATGAATTTATGGTCTAAACTTAATACCACTGGAAGGTAAGGACTCCTGTTGTGGGGACGAGGTTTTTATCCACTCTTCTTCACCTCAACAGTGATCATACATCGTAATAAATCTGTTTTATTCTGAACGATTAGCAGAAGAGTCTGCTATGGCTGATTTACGGAGAAGCATAATGGGAGAGGGCATTCTGTTCATCAAATTCGAGGACGAAAAATTGAAAATATACAACTTTGAGGACGATTTGTTGAAATATAGATGAAGTGCAAACTTGGGCCCTGGTGGTGAAAATGTCATGCGGTGACCCTTCACCCCTCTTCATTCTAATAATGGGGGAGGGGGGTTTGTAATTTTCTCAAGATGCCCATAGTTAAGTATACAAAGAACGCCCCTTCAGATGATTTTTTTATTTATTTGACTACCATTCTTGACATTGAGACTCAAGCTATTTTTTTCAGTCAAGAGCGATATTGTGAAAGGATGATTCTGAGTGAGTTTTTGCTCCTCCTCCCCCCCCCCCCTCCCCTGTTGAAAATGAAGGTTGAGGTCTCTACATGTATATGTTGTCTTAAATAAAATTTGGCAACAGATGGTGAAGTCACCTTCACATTTTTTTTCACATTCCTTTCTAAAGGCGGCTGAGAATGACGCTTATTTATGAGTTTAATATCATTAACAAGTTTGTTGTCGTTTTCAATTTTCTGCTTCGCTTGTTGACTATCGTGATTGCTTTTTCTCCCTCTCTTTCTGTCAATCTCTCATTTTGCTATCCACCAATTTTTTTCTTCTTCATATCTATCTATCTTTCTTTCTTTCTTTCTCTCTTTCTATTTATCCTTCCATCTATTTGTCAATCTATCTGTAGATGTATGTATCTATCTTTCTCTCTTTCTATTTATCCTTCCATCTATTTGTCAATCTATCTGTAGATGTATGTATCTATCTTTCTCTCTTTCTATTTATCCTTCCATCTATTTGTCAATCTATCTGTAGATGTATGTATCTATCTTTCTCTCTTTCTATTTATCCTTCCATCTATTTGTCAATCTATCTGTAGATGTATGTATCTATCTTTCTCTCTTTCTATTTATCCTTCCATCTATTTGTCAATCTATCTGTAGATGTATGTATCTATCTTTCTCTCTTTCTATTTATCCTTCCATCTATTTGTCAATCTATCTCTTGATGTATGTATCTATCTTTCTTTCTTTCTATTCATCCTTCTTTCTTTTTATGTATCCTACTATCTATCTATCCTTTTTGTGTGTTGCTTTTTTTTCTTCTCTCATTCCTTTCCTTTCCATACTATCTTATATTACATAGTGCACCTAGCTATATGCGGTTTTCATTTCCTACACTCCCTGAAGAGAAGTTGATACTTTTCCTTCTTTCTTTCTTCCATTTTCCCCTCTCCTGATGTCTTTGTTGCTGAGAGGACTCGAACAAGATGTTTATTTATGGAGATCAAGGAATATTATTCCGTCTATCAGTGTATCTGTGTTTGCTGCTCCCGAGGCTATACAGCTTCATTCCCATCTCGCCACACAAAAAGCTCTGCCGCTGTATTCCTGAATGGGATCAGCAAATATATCTTGGTAAGGGCCTTCTTTTGAAGGATCAATCCTGAATCTCTTCAAATAAACAGATGAACAAAATGTCAGTTTATTTGAGAATGTATGACTTGTTGCTGGCATTTTTGAACAAATTTTCATGCCATCTTTTTTATTTGACGAGTCTACTACATTATTTGAGGAGCAATGTGTCTGGTAAAAAAATACACAAGTATTTATACTTAACTACTAATTTCCTCTCTTATTTCATATCATTCTAGATTAGTTTTTTTTAAATATTTGAAGGGTTGTCACCTGTAGAGAAATTTAAACATTAATGTAGCCATCTAAAATGTGTTCAGGAGCAGGATATAGGGGCTTGTCTTGATTTTTAAATGCAAATCATAACCTGTATGTATTATGATAACTTATCATTCAAATATGATCTGCAGACTACCTTCACTACAACATGTATCAAATCAATAGGTAATTCCTTTTTTTTCTATTTCTAAAATTTATAGACTTTTTCTTCATGGTTGAATTCTTTTTTAATTCAAAATACTTCTGACATTTTTGTACTTTTTGCTGAAGCCGATATATGGCCCAAGGTTTCCTATTTGCTACAAAAAATCACGTCAAATTATAATGCTGAATATAAATGCTCGGTAGTACAGTGTCAGGTCTAAGTGATAAAAGAGAAATGAAGTCCCTCATCGGCAATAACCAATGTAGAATAGACTTGACGACACTTCAGAGATAGATAACCGTAAATCTACAGGGAAAATGCATGTCTTCCCAATAAAGACGGTGAATCAATAGCCGTCATTAGCGTAGGTTTCGGATGGTTTCACGTACCGTTCACTCCATGGTTGTGATGTCAGATTTATGCTCAACTTTCAGATCTGTGAACATGAACTGAAGAGAGTACATGGGAGGGAATGGAAGGAGGGTATAAATCTGTTCTATTTCTAAGGCCTTAAAACTTGAACTTGGGACCCACAGAAGCCTGTGAATAGTCTACTGGGAGTTCTCGGGCTCTACAGGGAGACGTAGATCTGCCACATTTACAATACCTCTGTGCATCGTTTGCAAAAGTGAGTGTCTGTTACTGCTTCTCACAATGTTTATGATTTGGTTAATGATGTCTCAGATATCTGCTTTTTAAACTTAATATTTGGGGTGGTGATGAATTCATACTGGAAGGATTGTGTATAATGGAGGGGGAGGGGGGAGGGGGGGTCTAGAGGACATCACATGTCTGTACAGAGTCAGAAAGGTTGTAATGCTAAAGATTACATGGCGTTAACGCTCTTCTGACTATGAGGATACAATATGTAGGTGCAGGAATCTATATGATTACACCTACACGAATAGCACCAGAATTAAAACTAATTAAACCAATTATAAGAATGGGGGGGGGGGGCAAGTCATCATCAAAGTGAAGGGTGGAAAATCAGTCTTCGTAAATAAAGTGTTTGATTTGATGACATAGATTCCAAATTTCTTCCAACTGGTTGATTTTTTTTTTTTTTTTTTTTTGGTGATATGTCGAGAGTGAAAGGGCTTTTTAACAATTTTTTTTTTTTTTTTAAATTTGCAAGAGAAAGTTTTAATAACCTTTATCTGTCTCCCCCCCCCCCTCCCTTTCCCCTTGATAAAGGAAAAAATGGATGGCAAATCTGTTGGGAATGGCTAATTGTTGAAAGTTCACTAGACACCCGCCCCCCCCCCCCCCCCTCCACAAAACGCCCCAGTAGAAGAGAAAAAGGGATGGTAAGTCTTTTGGGAAGGGCTAATTGTTGAAGTTCGGTGGACGGTGAGGAATGGACTAGAGCTAAAACTAGGAGATGACAGCTAACCAATTATGAAGACATTTGGACTAAATTTCATATTATGATGCGACCCCCTTCTCCAGTTTCACTGCTCACTTTCGGCCCTTAGATCCTGACTTTTACTAGGTGATGAAATTTAGTTTACTAGCCGTATAGCGGACAAATTCGTTTAATGGTATCCTGATGTTAGAAAAGTGTCCGTTTGTCAGGCAAACCTTGTCATTTGAGATTTGACTTGCAGAAAGAGTGTATAGCAAAGGAAGAAATATATGAAGGAATTCTTTCTTAGGGAGAAATTGTTGATTTGCTTATAAATAATATTTTCACTTTCTACATAGAGAATGAAGAAACTAGAAAGGGTTTGAAATAAATAGAGGAGAAAGAGCAGTAACAGAAATGATAGAAATTTAATCCAATATGCACAAATCTAGAGACCAACGGGATTTTTGTGGTAGAAATTTATTGGAAAATACTTGTCTGTTTTTTACCAATGAATTTTAATGATGCGCAATAAATGTTGTTTTTCCCCCTGGAAACAGGCAGTGGTGGTCAGGCCTACATCCTTGAAACTTTATTACCATAACTATTTTTCACTTATTGTTTTGATTTAATAATAGATTTCAAACTTGCATACAGTGTATATTGACTCTTAAAAGTTCTGCTACTGTGTTATTCATAAGTACAGCACAGAAAAGGGTGAAAATATAATCATTTTTTTCTAAAGGATTGTAAATGACAAATTACTTAACTTATTAAAATAGATGAAAGGCAAAAAAATATGGGAAAGAAGGAGGGAGAAGTGAAGAGAAGAAAAAAATGGAAGACTTGGAGTTGTCCTGTCTCTGACCCATCTCTGGAACGACTAAAAACACCGCCGCCGCCAACTGACATTCCGAAACTGATGCTCTACGATCCGATTATCTTACACCTCCCTGTCTCTCACCATCGGCATCATGGGATTGTTTGTTGATAATGTGATTAAGAATCGTACCCCGTGCTTCGTAATGCCGACCAAAGTATCTGTGAGCGAAGCCGCTGAAACTATAGGCCTGTCCTCATCAGCTCGAGATTGCCAAATATATATAGCCTGCTATTTCTGATTTGGGAAATAATCCCAAAGTTACAAATCGCCTCTTCATCAGCTCGAGACTTGACCTCGAAACATGAAACTCGAGCTCGAGAAATTAGCTCAAGCTATTTTGCTCAGCGTTTGCGCGTAGTGTGAGTTTTTGGGCTGGAGAAGATGCACAGGACAAATAGCGGGATATTTTGCAAACTACATGTAGCCTAAGATATCTTGGGATCATTATCTCGACCAAATATCCCGCTAATTGCAACTTCGGGCTGATGAAGACGCAAATTAACTGGATAATTTGTGATCGGAATAGTTCAAATAGTGGGATATTTGGCAATCTCGAGCTGATGATGACATACCTTCTGTGAACGGAGCCGCTGAACTGAACTAAGCAGCGCTGCCCTCGGGGGTGGAGGAGTATTTAAAGCCATTGCTGTCACATACTCTCATTACATTGAAAGGCTGATTATAATAGAGAGTATGCTTATGTAATCCTACATGTGTATTTCTGTGTAGGCTTGCATCGTGCCTCAAACAATTCTTGATTAAAAACATTCTGAGGAGGCCTTATCAATTTAGAAATAACAAATTATTATTACAGTTATGACTTTTAGTCACTATTTAGATCACAACAAGAAACATCTCAGGGTCTTGGTAATTGAAAAGGGGCAAATCTTTCTTAATTATAATGTCTCTGATTGTAAAGATCACTTTTGTTATAAAAATGAATTGTATCAAACAAACATAGTTTATATTTTGCGAACCATCTATTATAATTTTTAGAAAATGTTCACTTTGGCAATCATATAATTGTATATGAGTATTGTAAAGTATAAAATATGAAAAGAGGGTAGAATATTAAAACATATCTGCAAACAAAACAGATACTTAATGCACTTCTGAAATAATTCAAAGAAATAGAGAAGTGTTTTTATTAATATCAAAATGCTTTTAAATGATATAAGCCTAATCTTCTTGAA